GATGGTGGTGGTGATGGTGGTAGTGGTAGTGGTAGTGCTTTGGGTGGTGGTGATGGTGGTGGAGGTGGTGGTGGTGGAGGTGATGGTGGTAGTGGTAGTCTTTGGGTGGTGGTGGTGGTGGTGGTGGTGATAGAGGTGATGGTGGTAGTGTTTTCGGTGGTGGTGGTGGTGGTTGTGGTGTTAGAGTTGACCGTGATGGTGATGGTGATGGTGATTGCAATGGTAGGTGGTTGTGATTGTGGTGGTGGTCAAAATGATGATGGTGACAATGATGGTAGTGGTAATGAGTATAGGGTAACCCCAAATAAATATTTGACACTAAAATACACATACATGTAACTCAAACAATTTTAAAATATGTAAATCAGAACTTCGGAATCATAACATTCAACTCGTCAGACATGGCTTATCAATGTTTAAAAGAAATTTAATGAGATATTTTTAGAGCAATGGTAATCTTAGTGGTGTAGTGGTTTTGTCGCTGCCCATTCGCACGAAGAACACGCGAGTTCGATTCCCTTGTGGGGACGCTTTTTTCCTCTCTGTCTGTGTTGGCCCTGATAGGTAGCGTCGAGGCACACTTTTTAATTGATCAAAAATGTGAGGCAGCGTGGTGGAATCAGGCTCTCATCAATTTTTGGGCATGTAGAGTTGTTGGTATCATCTTAAAGCTCGTTCACTTGTCTTTATTTGGGTAAAAAAAATATCCATTTATCTTGACTACAAGTCGAGATATTTACGAAAGAAGGAGGTGGGGGTCACCTGTTTTCAGAGGTAAAATTTGTGAGAAAATGACCTCCAAAGATTAGTTATTTCCTTCGCTTAAGAGTCCGTCGTTACTGAAAATTTACATTTTTTGTGCCTTTAATCAACGTTTTTCAGAAAAATCCACACAGAAACGAGTTCTTTAATGGGCTTGAAAGGTGTTGAGCGAAAAAAACAGAAATTTGATAAAAATGCACAAATCTGAGGAAAAATGCCAGTTTCTTCACTTTGATTATTTGACGAGAGCCCGATTCCACCGCGCTGCCTCACAAATTGTGTTGACGGGTCGTATATAATAACAACATCATTGACATTTATTCCTCCCCAAATTAATGTCATTCTGAGAAGACTTTACTCTTTCGGTCCTCTTATACCACAAGTTGTCGAGGGAAGATGTTATTGATGGACATGGGTAAGGTGCGTTGCTCTTTGCATCACCGTATTGTGCCTTTTTTTTGGGGGGGGGGGAGGGGGGGCTCTTTGACTCCATGGATCCACCTATGCCTTGGCCTTCCGCCTTCCTTTTGCCTTGGAGCCATGGAATTTCGGTTTTATTGTAGGACTTTGAGTCTGTCTGTTGAACCCCCATTCAGATAAGGTGTCCAAACCACCTCACTCGTTGTCTCTCGGTATTTTTGTTTTGTTTTTGGTAAGAGTTTTACGACGCTCGCAACTGGATAAGGGCATATGAGCGCCAGAAGATTATAGGTGTTACAAGAGAGTAACAAACATAAAAAAGAAGAAGGGGAGATAAGGACTATAGACGTTTGATAGGAAAGAAGAAGCAAACCACACCAGAGCACCCGCCAACCACCCACTCTCTAGGTATATTATTTCATGCTCCCTCTTACGCCTATTTGTTCGGTGATATCTTCGTTTCCTTGTCTGCCTCTTTCCTTGTCGTCTAACGTTTTTCTATGACATTCCATTTCCCATGCGGGCTTATTTTGTTTTTCCAAGAAGAACTTACCCAAAAGCAAAAGCTGCCTGGAACAATCCCGAGACCAGGCCGAAAGTGTCAATGTTGTCCTCGAAGCCAACATCGCTGTAGACAGAAGAACGTGAATTGTGATAAGTATTATGGTTACTTAATTTTTTTACTTTTACTTTTTCATCCTCTGTTGCCGTTAAGCGTCGAGGGGAGAAGCAGTAAGTATTATGGTTAAAAACGTGAAATAAAACTATTGCAAAAACTCGTGTGAAGTTGTTTGTTTTTGTATCTCTCTCTCTCTCTCTCTCTCTCTCTCTCTCTCTCTCTCTCTCTCTCTCT